TCTTCAAGTTGGCAGATAAAGTAGTTGCATTTAAAGCCAAACTGGATTTGTGGGGACGGCGCGTCAACAGCGGCATTTTGGACATGTTTCAAACATTAGTGGGGATTTTGGGTGAGACTGAGCCTGAGCCTTCATTCTCCCAGCTGGTGCACGATCACCTGTCTTTGCTTTTAAAAGAGTTCGAGCGCTACTTCCCAACCACAAAGGACCCACGAACTGCCAAGGAATGGATCCGCAACCCATTTGTCAACAAACCAGGTGAATCCAGCAGGTCTGTGCAAGAAGAAGATCAACTGCTGGAGATCGCAAATGACGGCGGCCTTAAAAGTATGTTCGAGACAACAACTCTGTTGGTGTTCAGGATTAAAGTCATGACAGAATACCCCCCGGGCCGCTGGAAAACTTTTCAAGCGTTGACCGGTCCGCAGTGATAAAAAGGTTGGGGACCACTGCTGTAAACTACTGTTTCAAAGGCTAAGAAAGAAGTTTGCATGTGTTTCTGTTGGCCTAAATCACAACTCAGCCTTTAAGTTTTGTGAAGAAGAACACGACAGGTGATACATTTTAGATACTCATCAGAACTGAGTGCCTACTCTCCCATGATGCCTTTGGATACTGAGTGAAAGGATGCCAGCTCCACTGTGTCTGAAAAAGGAGGACCCATCTCTGCCAGAACCCTCTTGTAGGAGACAAACTCACTCTTCTCCCCATGAATACAGTCCTGATAAACCTGAGGAGAACATGGGCCGGCATACTGATTTACACATGCATTCATGTTTCCCAGTATGCTTGAGTAGCGGATAAAACTTCAGGATATCTACCTCATCAGCCAGCAGGAAGAGCCTCTTCTCTGAAGCAAACTGGATCACCTCTTGTATTGATTTTCTTCTTTGAATGTGACCTACAGGCAACATAGCAACAACCATTTGATACAAAAAAATAAATTTACTGTATACAGTATGATCTCCATCCTAGTGATATTAACGCACCAGATGGGTTTCCAGGGTTGATGACATACAGAGCAGTAGGGTTACAGGTTTCCTTTGCAGATTCCAGTGCTTGATGTAGCTCATGTACCTGCAGCTGCCAGCCCTGGCCCTGGCCCTCACTGAGGTAGTAAGGAACGACAACTGCTCCCAGTGCCGTAATGGACAAATTGGTAACAGGATAGCATGGCACTGGAGTCAGCACACCTGTTCTGGGTGAAGCTTCGCTGTTCACCAAGACTTTCAAAATATTCTAGTAAACAAAGAAAATACTTAATTTAAAAATAATGATAATTTTTAACTTTCAAGAGGAAAAATTAGGCAGTATGTCGGTGACACTGACTATTACCATGAGTGACCACTGTGAGCCTGGGCTGATGTATATGTTTTCAGGATAAGACGGAGCCCCACCATCTCGCTTCATTATGAATTCAGAGATTCTGTGGACTATTTCTGGTACACCTGCTGCAGCGGTGCAAGAGCCTGAAGAAATAACACCAATTCTGATAAACACACAAACTGATTATGCAGTTATTGTTTTTAGTTTCTATTTTTTCTTGTCTACATTCCATTTGATTGTGTTCTTTTCTATTACTGTTATACAATATGAATAAATATTACATACTGCTTGTATATTGTATAACAGCATACTTTAACATGTTTTTTATGGATCTTGCGTTTATTATTCCTATTTAAACCTTCATATTATTCTATAACAGCGTTAAAAACACTAAACACTGCACTTAAAGGTCTGCAGCAATGCCTCTTTGTACAATGCAGTGTCTGTTTTACTCAGAACAATTGACAAAAGCACAGCAGCATTCAAAAGAGAGAGAGAGAGAAAGAGACAGAGACAGAGGAAATGGAGAGAAAAGCAAAACATTTTTATATAATCTGGGTGAACGTTTTCATCATAATACCACATACACAACCTTTACCGACACTTCCTCTAGCACATTCCCTAAGCAAACTCTGAGCCCTCTGTTTGACATCCACAGGCAGTTTGTCACTGTTGATAAGCTCAGGGTAAACACATGCTGCAAGAACCTGAAAAACATGAATGCACAACAGAGAAAGTCATATTTGAGTTCAGAATAAGAAGAAATGCATGGGTTTGTGGATGCAGTATATGTGGTGTATATTAGTCATACCTGTCTGACAAATGACAGTGGTTTCACACCTGTCTGGTGCGAGTCACCCCAGTAGACATCTATCACTTTTTCATAGGCCCTTCTGACTCCCTATGGACAGTTGATTTCAAAGCAAATGGTCCACATACCACACCACAGGTTGGTAAATTGACTGTATCCATATGTATATCTCTGTGAATATATTTACCCGTCTCAGTTCTTCCTTGATTTGGCTTGATCGTCTGAGCAGAACTGTACACTCTGATGGCTTCGTGTTCCTCACATTTGGACTTATCTGCTGCAGGACAGACATTTTTGTGCCTGTTCTTCACCTTCCTATCAGACCAGCAGCTGTGTTGACCTGAGTTGAACCATGTCTTGCTAGTCAGTTTACACCAAGTTCAATTATTTGCATTGAAATTGGTTTACTAGTTAAAGATATACATGAGAAATGTGTTAATATGTACCTTATTAACTGTTGAGACAGTTGAAACAATATGGTCTCAGGTTAGACTGCTACTGGCAGGGTTACCTGATTTTATTTCTTAACTTACTTCTGAAACACCTAATGTACTCCTTTATTAGAGCTTAAATTTTAGTCTCGACTGCATGACTGTCTGAAATTACAAATACCTTCTCTCAGACAATAATCACTAGAGCATCAGTCTGTTGTTTATTTATATAATTTATAATTATTGAAAACCTGACAGAAATTTGAATTAATTAAAAGTTTAGTTAGATCTCTATACTGTATTTATTAAATCTATAAAGACATAATGTTGCCTGGTATGGTAGACCATGAAAGTTAGATTCAGATTAAGCGGAACATATGTTAAGGTGAAACATATGACATATATTTACAAAGAAATAGTAGCTTACCTTCCACCAGAATCTAGTCCTACTAATCTACTTTGGGGTCTAACACTGTAACAGAAATGCCATAAAAAGAAAACTTTAAAAAAAAAAAGGGGGAAAAAACAGTCGCGTTCTGTGATGCTTACTCTTGCCGCACTCTCACCATTGCCTCGAAACTCTGCCTGGTCCAGAGATTTGGGATCTAATGTTTATACTTCTGTTAGGACCTTTAGGACCTAACAGGACTGTTAGGACCGATGTTTCACGGCCACGTTTCTCTACGGAGATAAATAAGAGACGTGCCGCTAAACTTCCTGTTTTGTTTTTCTTTCGCTCTCCGTCTGCTCGGCTTTTAGGTATGGACGTATTTGCGAACCTAGTAGAAAACAGTATACTTCCCGTGAAAGAAGTTACACTCTTCGAACCCCGGTGAACCTTGTAAACCACACACAAGCAGCAGGTATCAGCAGCACTTACCGTGGAGTTTCAGACACCCTCTCTCCGCCTCGAAATGGCACTCAGCTCGGGCGGTTGGGCTCCTCCAGCCCCGGTCGCTACTTCGTCCCATCAGGTAGCATGCGGCGGAACCGAGCCAATGGCTTGCTGTAGTACTGTTTTAATGTCAGTCCGGGTTTCGGTGTGCCATTCTGGGATCCGGCCCCTGTATCTTCCTGTAGCAGGCAGCGAGGCTTTGCGCCTACAGCTCAGCATGGACCCGAGCCGGGCCGGAGAGTTCCGACTGGCGCTGCGAGATACGAGCGGAAACCGCAGTGTGGTGAGATTTCACACATCTATTTATGTGTTTAGTTGTATAAGAGGTTCTGTTGGTATCCGCTTAGACGTGTTATTAATAAACCACCTTACTAAATCACATTTATATTTTACACCAGCGTGGGCCCATACACGCCATTTTATGGAGCACTGTGCCAGAGACGTGCAGCACCACAGAATTCAGCTTTGAGGATAAAATCACATTAGATTTTTTTCACTCTGTACCATATGGCAAGCAGCTGCAACACCACCCAATACGACTATGTGCTAAACATTTAGAAAAATCTTAAGTTTCCTTTTGATTACATTTTTAACAGCACTCGTCTGTCTATAACTTCAGGTCAATGCCTGTAAAAAGCCTCAAAGATGTGTTACCAAAGACTATTGTAGTCAGTAAGGTTTTAGATTCCTTTACATTTTCAGCCTTGTCATAATAACTACCTATTCATAGCAGTATGATGAGAAAACCCTTAAACAGTAACTGTGGTAAACAGCTGCTGTGAGACATCACTGATCTCAGTGACATGGGGATCTACACGCAATTTACCAGTTTTCAGCCTTGAATTTGTCATGTTTAGTATGACAAGCTATATAACTAATCTCAGCTTTATTTGTATAGCAGTCATTTCCCGGCTAACGGTAACTCAAGGTGCTTCACATACAGGACAGGCAAAAAACAAAATGTATACAGTACAATTCAAAAGATCAGAAAAATACTGTGGTCCCAGACCACTGAGTGACTTGTGTAATGGCTGTGTTTTATTGTTTGGTGAGGCAAATAGAGCCTTTCTATAGATTAAACATATTCATAAGTAGTGAGGAGCAGTAGTGAGGTGAACAGGAAGTGTTGGCACCCCGCATACCCACTTTTAGCACATATCTTTAGTTAAATATTTCACCACCAACTCAGCTTGTGCTTTGCTACATATGGCTCAAAGATAGTTCTGGTTCAAAAACATAAAAGGTGACCAGAACTGTTTTCAAACTTTTTGTCTTATTCAAACATTTCTTTTAGGAAGGTCACAGCTGGCAGACTTTTATACACAGACATACATAGTCATAACAGTGTATGAGCCTGTTCGGGTCTGGTTGTTTTGTGCATGTGTTTTTATTTTTACTGTTTTTTTTTTTTGTATCTTCAGTTCATTGCAGAGTTTGACCTGCGCTCGGTGCAGTATGAGGTCAAGTCCCCACGCTGCCATGAGATGTGTTTTGCTGCTCCACCCCATGACCGCATCCGCTTCAACTTCCGCTGTGACCGTGAAGCCGAGGAGTGGGCCACGGTGGTGATGTCGTCACTGAGAGAGGCACACAGAGGTCAGTTTGACAATGCCTTTCAGACACCATGCATTCTTAGTTGGTAAACTGGATAGATATGGTTAATAATTACTAGTTCTTATTACTGTCACACTTGTATTTAATTATTTAAAAACTAAATAATACTTAGAATCAGGGAGATCATTTATAAATTTAAACAGCATAGCCCTGATAATTATGTGGACTTCGGTGGGGATGGAAAATATGGTAAACCAACTAATGTTATATTATGGCATCAAATGAAGATCAGTAAGGTACAGATATACAGTCATGGCTAAAAATATTGGTACCCCTGCATTTCTGTCAGATAACACACCGCTTCTCCCAGGAAAATGTTGCAGTCACAAATCCTTTGGTATTTTCATGTTTATTTCTTCTGTTTGCATTGGAACAACACAAAAAAGCAGAGAGCCACAATAGTGAAAAGCACAGACAATCTGAAGTCCATCTTCAGAGATCCTGATGTTCCTGTGTCCACTGTGTGCAACATTGTCAAGAGTAAAGCATTATTAATGCAACTATAATGTCTGTAAATACACAAAAGAAAATGCTGTCTGTAATGTGGACCCAACCAAGAAAACTGTAAGCCTTGTCCTTGTGATTAGAATGTGTTACTGATACTGTATGTCTGTTGGGCCTTTATCAGCCATGTGCAGCTAGAATACTGATATCACTTGATGTTGGTGTGTTTGACAGACACAAGTTTTAAGGACTTTTGTTTCTTGTCTCTCCTCTGACAGTTGCAAATATTAACACATGTGAATCAGATGGCATACAGAACCACACAGCAGCTGCAACGGAGCAGCCGAGCTCAGCTTTGCTGCCGCTCACTGGTGGGTTTCTCCGTTTACTGTTATGTGTTTTCCTTTTCTGTACCCAAAACACACCCTAAAAATGCCATTCTATTTTGGTGTCTCTTTGTTAATAGAGGAGCTATGCTTGGAGCTCGCCAGGGCGATAGAAGCAGGGGACACGCAAGCAGCTTCACAGCATGCATCCGCTCTAGCTCAACAAAAAGCAGCGCTAATGATTCAGCTGTCGGAAAAGAACTATGCAGATGGAGAGATCAGGTGAGAAGTGTCGGGCTGAGGGTTTAGTCAAGGTTATGGTGACTGGTAAATCATCCATGTTACATGTGTTTGCAACTTATAGTGCCATGTCTGTACTGCAGTTTGTCTGTAGTGGTGGAGGATGTGTCGTCATCCTGTTGGGTTCCCCTACATGACTGTGGCTGCACTCAAGCAACAGGTTAGGAAACTGTCAATTAACCAATAATGATGTGAACGTATCATATTGCAGGTCCACTGACTCATCCACTCTTCTTCTTCAGGTGTTCCTTGAGTATGGTTTCCATCCTCGTGTGCAGCGCTGGGTGATTGGTCAGTGTTTGTGCACCGAGCCGCGGTCATTAGCCTCCTACGGTGTGCAGAAAGACGGTGATACAGCGTACCTCTACCTGATCTCTGCCCGGCAGGCCCGTATCACCCGCCAGCTGTTCCAGCAGGACCTGGAGAGCGCCCTCCTCGCCCCGCCCCTCCCCCTAGGCAATGGACCCACCTCCCAAGACTGGAGGGGTTACAACACCCTGCCATCGAGACTACCCCACAACAACCAGGGTCAGTTCAACAAATGTCCCCTTTGTGTCACAGTCTAGACAGAAGATATTAGAACAGTGATATGTTTGTCATTCTTTTGACTCTAGAATATCGGGTTTGAAACTATTAATATAAGGATAAAGCACTGCTCTTCAGTTTTAAGGCTCTTTGTGTTCATACTCGTGTCTATAATGGCTCAGTAGTGTAGAACTCTTAACTGTTCTCATGCATCTTAGTACCCCAGACAGTGCATTAGGAACAGTGACCCTAAACAAATTGCCAAAGCATCAAGTAAGGACTTTTAGGACTTTTGCTTTATTTTTTGACGTTTTCTAGTATTGTTTTGAAAAATCTGCAGCACTTCCTGTCATTTGGTCATTCCTTCCTACATTTCCCATCTGATGTGGATGTAAACAGTCACTTTAGCCTTGTATGGTGAGGCAGCTTTATTCATTTAATTAATTTATTTTGGCTCTGCCTGTTTGTTCCACCTACACCGCTTCTCCTTGTTTAGTCTTTACCCTAGTTTCAATCAGATAATTTTCAGTAGATTTAAGGACTGGTATATTCAAAGGAGGTCAGAGATGTATTTTGGTGCCAGACCATTAAGAGATTTATAGACTAACAAAAGTACTTCAAAATCTATTCTGGCAGCCAGTGCAGTGATTTATGGAAAAGGGTGAAGTGTTGAATCCTTCTAGGTCTTGTTATCAGCATTATTATGGATAAGCTGCAGTTGTTTGATAGCCTTATGGGGGAGACTAGTTAATATACAATTGCAATAGTCCAGTTTACTGGTGATGAAAGCATGAGTGAGACCAGTCAAACAAGTAGTAATCATGGTTTAGCTTGCAGCGTGTTCTTTTATGAAGAATAATCAGAGTCAAATATCACCTTTCAAACATTTATTATCATAACTGAACAGACCATCGAATAAAGTAATTTACAGAGCTCTGGGTTCCATCTCTATCTGAAGCCCTGACCTCAACAGCAAAACCGTTCAACTCGTCTTCAGGACGAAAGGGAACGCCTACCCTCCTGGAAACCCAGTTACTTATACAATTTGAAATGTGCAATTGTAGGCTGGTCTGGTCCTCTTGTGCTGCTCCATTGGTCCATCTATCCATCTGTCCTCCTCCTGCGTCCTTCCTACTCCAATGGGAAAGGCAGCTTCCTAAAGAGGGAGGAAATTCTACTCTGTCTAAATTCCTACACTAACTTCCCTACATGAGACATGGCTTTCCGTTTGGCTAATTAAACTGTCTTGCCTGTGTGTGTGTATATATATATGGTCCTGCCTCGAAGTTGTCTCCTCTTCCTGACTTTTAGATCTAATCTGTTTAAGTATCCCAGGAATCCCAGTGATCCCAAATTCCCTGGCCTCTTCAGCCAGGTGGTGATAATAAATTCAAATCAAATCAAATCAAATTTTATTTGTATAGCGCCAAATCACAACAAAAGTCATCTCAGGACACTTTACAAAGTAAGGTCTAGACCTTACTGTTATCAATATTATTACATAGGGAAAACCCAACAAATCCCCCTTGAGCAAGCACTTGGTGACAGTGGGGAGGAAAAACTCCCTTTAACGGAAGAAACCTCCGACAGACCCCGGCTCTTGGTGGGCGGCCTTCTGCCTCGACCGGTTGGGGTGAGTGGATAGAGGAGAGACAAAAGAAGAAAAGCAACAAGACACAACAATCAAACACTGATCAGGTCGATGTGGCCGGTGACTGCTCGTCAGAGATATAGAGCTCCAGGGCAACCTGCAGAAAGTTACAGGGAGAGAGAGAGAGGACACACTACGGGAGAGAGGAGACACAAAGTTAGTAATGTGTAATGGTGGCATATAGAAGCATAGGGAGAGAGAGGAGAGGAGAGCAG